CCCCCCCCCCTTTCAGCAGAAAAACAATTATCGACTTACATTGAGTAAAATTGTAATATAAATATAAACATTTTAAACACGTGGAAACTTCAACCTAACGTTGATGAAACGCATCCTTAAAATATCAGCTTTTTGTCAATGTTTTAATTCACAATGATTATTTTTAGTTGTTTTAAGGCTCTTCGCTTATTCAGTGAAGAAATTCACTTCTAAGCAACGTTTGTAGAAGTCAGGGTGAAAGTAGACCAAGCGGCGCATGCGCACTGAGCATGTCTGTCATGAGTAAGTGGCTATTTAGTAAGAAAACAAAGGCAGGCGTCTCTTATTCTACAGCTGCGGAGGTTTGACGATGGAGCATCTGTACTGCTTATGTGGATGCAAAAGGAAACAGTAATCCTTCTCTGTCACTGACATCTTCTGAAACAGCTCGTTGTGGAGGCGCTGGATTTCTTCATTCCGCGCGAATTTTCTACAGGAATCATTAAGATCCACAGGTCTTCAGATTCATGAGCATCGACATGGAACAGCAGCGTCCACTTCTACTTTAAGACGTTTACGGATGTTATCTCGGTAAGAAAGCTCAAACTTTCTCTTGAGAAACACGACAACGTTAATTCCGTCCCGTGGACCTGCATGAAACGTCAGCTCCAAGTTGTTTCACAAAAGTAGAAAATGTAAGAAATTAACAATTGCGCGCGATTGGGCGCTGTCCGTGGTGCTGAACTCATATTCTATATGAGTTCATATATATATATACTGTATATACAGTATATATGTGTGTGTGTGTGTGTGTATTATATATATATATAAAACCTTTTAACCTCTTCAAAATCAAGTCAGTGTCGGTTTTTCTTTTTTCTCTTAAGTACTTACACAGGAACACTCTGTCTGAGACGCCGCCCTGTTGTTAGATCTCCCAGCATGGCAACTCACATGAGGCTTGTGTTGCATTTGCTATTGCTGTTCATATTTGCTGGTAAGTATTTTGAAGTTTTAAACGTATAATTTGAATAATAAATAATGAGACTTTTTGTACAAGACACCATTTTGTCATTTACAAAGTAAGGAAAGAAAATGCTAGAGAAATAATAGTAATATTAAGAGTGGGTTATGCAAAATCTGGTCTTCATTTTTCAGAAATGCAATTGCATTTAAATGTGTTAAACTGACCATATGAGTTTTTTGTAATTTAAAGGGATTTCTAAATAATTAGTGGTTGTGATATATGCAGTACAGGATCAGCATATCAGAACTTAAATAATATGTATTCATTATTTTATTAATTAATGAATTTATTATTATTATTTTGCATTTTTGCAAGTATTATATTTGTAGGGACCCCACGTTTACAAATTTTTTTTCTCAGAATTATTTTCACTAACTCCCTCCCACAGCTTCTTAAATGTCTGTATATCCATAAACCAGTTAATTATACATCAGAACATTAGTACAGACAGTGTTTGATGTATGTGAGGTACTTCTTTGTGAGTCACAAATTCACATATCTCTTAAAAAATACAATCCCAGACAGAGATGGCATTGATTCAGCTCTAAACAGTACCATAAGTGTCAATGACTCACGCTGCTTCTCCTCACAGATTGTGGCAGTCTGGTGCCATCAGAACATTAAGAGATTTAAAATAGAATTTAATCTACCTTTAAGTTTGCATTCTTTGACTAGTAGTGAAATATGTCACAACTGTCATTATTATACATTGTCTGTGCTTGTGGGATGAACAGCTACATTTGGCATTTCCATTGGCCCATATGTCCCTTCAAACAGAAAAGGTGCGATCAGTGTTGGCAGCTTGTGTTTGAGGCTGTGAGTTATGTAAGATGGCCTCCATTTCAACAATGGCAGAGAGGTTATGTTCACAGTCGAGCGAACACTCCAGAACAATCTTCACATGACTGAGGCCTCGGCCTGGCCCCTGCTCAATGGGTCGTTCTGTGCTGCCAATACTGAACATGTGTCTGCAGAAATCAGTGTGCTATAAGGTATGTTTTTGTCTGAGCAGGAGTCGGGTGTGCTGTAAGCTCTTTCTGGAATTGGAGCTTGTAATGGATAATGATCTCTCTCTGTCTCTCTTTCTCATTCTCTGGTGCTCCCTTGAGAAATCTCTGCCTTAGATTTAATTGACCTCCATAAAGTATATGCAGATTGAAGCTACTTTTTTGGTAAGGTGTTAACTTTTCACTCCAAAGGGCATGACTGTATGTCCTACATGTTGATGAAAGGTGCAGAGATAGATGGATAGATGGATGGATGGATGGATTGATAGATAAATGGATAGCTAGACAGATAAATAAATGGATAGATAGACTGACAGGCAGCTAGACAGATAAATAAATGGATAGATAGACTGACAGGCAGATAGACAGACAGACAGACAGACAGATTTATACAGTGTGTGTGTGTGTGTGTGTGTGTAGTAATACGCTGTGTGTTTTCTGCAGTGCAGGAGGTCAGGCTGGTGTGTGTGGACGTGGCATCAGACACAGAGGCCGTCGTAGGCCGTGTTATGAAGTTAACCTGCATCTACTGCATGAAACGAGAGGAGATCTCTGCCGAGACCAAAGTGGACTGGTTCTTCATTGGAGAAGATAAAAGAAAAGTGCTTGTGAGATCACCTCTTAGCTTTTTTTGCACATATCGTATTTAAAAAATGATCATATCTGACACATAATCATCTACCCTATACAGATCTATCAGTTTGATCGTGAGCCACAGATGCCAGAGGACGTAGAAATGTACTGGAAGGACCGTCTGACATGGAAGGGCAGCCAGGACCTTCAGGACATCTCCATTAGCATCCTAAACGTTACTCTTAATGACTCTGGCACATACGAATGTGAGGTGTCACGCTTCTTTGAGTTCAATTCATTCAAGCATTCCACTACCAAGAAAACAACAATCGATCTTAAGGTAAAAATGAAAGGTAAGTGAGAGAACACACCGCTAGACCTTTCTCACGCTGGACATACAGTACCTCGTCCAGCCATATTCGATCTGATTACCTGATCTCTGCAGTGTGATTTGGATGGTTGTGCAGCAGGCCATTTCCAAACATGCTGTAACCCGAAAAACCAGATATTATTGACCTGAGCACAGTGTCCTTCCTTCAGTGTAGTTGAACTGTATCCTGATGTGTTGTGTTGTTCTAGTAATCCTGTGCTCTGTTCTGTTTTTATTGTTATTTAAGCCTACTTATTGGAAGGCAGGAAGTTGTTTTCAGGGCTTTATCTAAGCAACCACTTACCTCTCTATCTGTTGTAAGGGGTAATGTAAAGATTCTGGTTTGTATGCTATTCTCTGGATGCCTGAGATTGCTGAATGCAGAGTACTTCCTCACTTCAATCGAATATACTTTACCTAATGTATATTTGTCTATATTTAATCATGCAACCACAATGCATCATCTCTATCTGTGACTGTCTTGGTTCACAGATAGAAATAGACAATGTTGTATTTAAGTGGTGGCTTTAGAGGATTTTTTGAATATTGCAAGCAGCCTTCCAGAACCACAAACTTACAGTACAACTCTGCTTTTACATTCCATGCCATTTTAGATCTATTCACTGCAGTGCATGAAACATAAATACTCTTTATAATGTGATCACAGGTCCTTTTTGACAACTGTACGAGATTTTGCAGAATTGTACAAACTTGTTTTTTTCTATAAAATGTCACATGTTCTGCACTATCATTGATGTATACAGTCTTACAGTCTGTCATATAATGTCCTCCAAGGGAAAGCTAAAATGAAGTACAGTATCTGAGCATGTTTGTTTCATTGTGTGGTTTTGTGTTTGCATGCAAATGATTTGCTATAATGTCTTCTAAGGGACAGACAGAAAAATGTATTTATCCGTTTCTGCCTAATGAACACCTAACTGAACTTTAAAGTGATAGTTCAAACAAAAATAAAATTTGAGTCATCATTTACTCACCCTCATGTCTTTCCAAACATGTATGCATTTCTTTCTTCTGCAAAACACAAAAGAAGATATTTTGATGAATGTTGGTAACCAAACAGTTTCGGTTCCCATTTACTACTATTATTGCATGGATACAACTGAAGGAAATGGGAAACTAAACTGTTTGGTTACCAAAACTTATTTATTTATTATAATTTTTTAATGTTCTAAAAAAGAAAGTCATACAGATTTAGAAAGACATGAGGGTGAGTAAATGATGACTGAATTTTCATTCTTGGGCAAACTATCCCTTTAAATGAAAATCAACTTAAATACAATTAGTTGCAATTTCAATAATTATTTATGTGAATTCTTGCCAGCAGTTGATTCATTCTGATTCTCTACAGATCTTCTATGCATGCTGTGTTTTTGTTCATATAACAATAAAAAAAAGGAAAAAATAAAAAATCCTCAGGAAAAAAAGTGGTTAAAATTGTTATATGAAGCCACTCACTCACAAATGTAAAACCTGGATGCAAAGCATGATATCTCTGAGGTGACTTATAGTTGCACTTGGTTATAGTTCCTGATGACCTGAAATAGATTTAATAACTCTCCTAGTGCATTACAGCAGTGCAGCTATATTTTGACTTGCCCACTCATGCATTTTGCACTTTTGTCCTCATTTTCAGTACACTTGAGACTTTCTGAGTCACTTTCTGGATGAATTTAACACAAACATCCTTAGTGGCACAGTATATCAGTCTGACAGGCCTCCTCTGATTGCTCAGTTAATTCCGTCTGATTGCATATTTTCATTTTCTCAGCAAGTCGAGACACCACGGCGCTATACTCAGAGATCATGATGTATGTGCTGCTGGTGTTCCTCACATTCTGGTTGCTGGTGGAGATGATCTACTGCTACAGGAAGATCTCCAAATCCGAGGAACAGGTGCAGGACACTGCGTGAGTATTAAATTATCATGTGTCTTCTGTTGCAGTCTTACTTTCTCAAGTTTAAGTGGTCCATTTATAGGAATAGTTGACCCAAAAATTAAAATTTGCTAAAAATGTACTCACTCTCAAGCCATAGAAGAAATACACGAGTTTGTTTCTTCATCAGAACAGATTTGGAGAAATTTAGCATTACAT